AAGAAGAATCGACGATCGAACGCGGGCCCGGATGGAAATCGAGGCGATTCCCGGCTCGCTCGAAGGTTTTTATTGGAAATCACGAGAGGCGGATTTGAGAGTCGAGGCGAGGATCGACGGCGCAACCGTGACTACCGTGCCGCGATAACTCGAGAACTGGTCCCTCGTGGCTTCTACGTCGTATGTTGTGTTTACGTTTCTTTTGAAAAGTTTTGATTTGTTAATGGATAGTGTGTATATTACAATTGTGGATTCTTGGAATAATTTAATCCATTGTTTATAAATCGTATTAGTCATAGTTGTGAAGAAAACAATGTTTGGTCACTGTAATGTAGCGATAATAATATTTTAATAATTTGTATTATTACATGAAATTATATATATTACAAAAATGATTTACTAGTAATTTATTAAAATAATTTATAATAATTTAATAATAATAATAATTAATAATAATAATTATAAATTATTATAATTATAATAAATTATAATTAAATAATAAATTATTATAATTATTATTATTAAAAGTTAAGTTAAAGTTAAATTATATCTTTTTATGTAAAAAAAGTATAATGAAATTACCTTCATATCTTTACAATGTACTTGTTATATACGTATGCTCTTCGATTAAATCTACGTTTCAATAGAATTATCCTTACTCGCTATTTTATAAAAGAACAGACTTTCATCTCTGTTCATTCCTATATATACATTCGATAATAAACTATTAACCGTCGTGAAAGAACGACCATTCGCATAATGCACACGATTTAAATATTTCCAAGGAGAGTAGCGAATGAAATTGAACAGATTCAATTTTATGAAACGATGTCCCTACAGGGCAATTGAAGAGGTTGTTCAGAGATCTCACAAATATTACTAGAAATTTCATGAAAAGTCGAAGGTTGTCTAGTCCGAAGAAAATAAAAAGAGTAAGGAAACGTAGAAAATCGGGGTCATCCAGGGAAATGAAGTAAGTAGATGAATCGATAATCGAGAGAATCGAATGAACCAGATGGAGGAAAGGAGGTGAAAGGTTCAAATGGCCGAATAAATCGGTGTAATGTGATTACGAGTCACAGAACACGCGACAGGGGAGATAATACGAGTGAATACGAAAGGATAAGATTTAAAAAACGTTAACAACTTAATCAACTTAACTAAAAGGGATTCCAAATATAATATCATAATTCGTCCAAGTTTTCACGATATGCAGAGGAGTAGATTTACATATATAAAACAAGCCAACGCTTATCTCTCGACATGGGATTTGGCTCGAGGGCAGAACTAGCGTTCCGTTTTTCATTTCTCGTTGGATTAGTCAAAAAATTACCCCTGTTTATCAAGGCATACTCTACGGTACTTACTATTAGTCATAATCACGAGTGCTGTTCGCTTTCCCTTTAGAATGCACGTTTTCATTATGCTGCATTAATTTAGGAAATCTGAGAGCCTATTTATTTCTCATGCATATACGAACAAATTTAGCGTACATTGATAAGTAGGTTATGAAATATTGTGCGAGCCATAAAAGATTTGAAACATTACTTCATTAAATCAAGTACATCTTAGTAATAAATTTTTAGAGTAGAATATTTTTGCAAATATTAGAAAATAGTATATAATTTACTTTTTCTGTGACCCATAATCTATCCAACCTAATTTTCTTCGTGTTAAAATCCATGACTTTTATATCTCGTAAGAAACTGATATAAATCTGGCAATAAAAGTCATTTTATTAACAATTTACGACATAATTTATTTACAAAATCGTATAATTCTGGTAGGAATATCTGACTTACGAGTTATTTTACTTGTAAAAAATATAACAAAAAAAAAAAGAAAATGTTTCACATTTCCTTCCATAGCTGTTTAACAATCGATAAAACAACAATTATTGATGCTCCGTATATGAAATTTCGTACATATTTCCAAGCTAAAAGAAAGTCAGAGTCTTAATTCACTTAAGAAATGCGAAACGTACCTTCTTTATTACCTGTTCATGAAGCAAAATGTCAGCGACAAATCGAGGAAAACAAGGGGAAAGGCAAGGAATGATATTTCCCGTCTTTAACAGTCTGGCGCACGTATGATAAGCGAGGAAGCGTGCCTAGCCATAAATATTTTACAGCTTCAGCCGGAGGAAGAGTACGCGGAAAGCTCGAAGTCGAGAAAGATACAAGGGGGGCGCGTCTGTCTGCCTCTAAATTTAAGGTTCCCCCTTCCACGGGGGGAGGATTAAACTGACTTTACAACAGGCGACGACCTATGCGTCCGCGATTCATATACCTCCGCCCTTTCTCTTTTTTGGACAGAAGCGGAGGAGAGAAAAGGAGGGAGGGAGGAGACGATGCATCGCCTGCCCCCGCACATATCTTACACCTTATTACATTTCTTAAATATGACCCGAGCAGCGCCAAGAGATTCCACGCGATCCCGGTGTTTCCGCACCCTCTTGGTCGAGGGAGGGTCTGTCGCGCTTCTTTGCGGGGCAGGGGAGGGGGAGGCGAGGTTCGAAGGTTTGCGGGCCAAGCACCATTCTATATGCAAAATTTCACGGGTCGCGGAAGCGAAATAGCGAGTCGGCAAGCAAATGAAGTTCGCCGTGGAAAATAACGCGAGGAATTTCTGGACCGTCCTTTATCCACCCCTACGGCCACGCCCGCAGTGCTCCTCGTTTTATTTCTTCCGAGCAATTTATATTCCCGGATTATCGAGTTTCGGGAAAATTTTAGATGACGCCCCAACCAAACGCGACATGTAACCGTTGGTAGAGAATTTCTGACGAATTCGTGACTTTTTATCGCGGTCACATCGAATCATGATGATGAGTGGAAGGGGCTGGGGATAAAGAATTTAGTTTGTTTCGATCGATTGCAATTTCGATTTGCGTTATTGTTAACTCACCTGTAGATGGGTTCTCCAGCTCCACCCTCCTTGTACCACAGTACCATGCTCACTTCGTCGTTGTCGGCAGAACGAATATCACAAGGAAGGTGCACTTTGTTTCCTACAACCCCGCTGATAGTAATCACTGGAACTGCAAATGAAAAAATGAAAAATGTTATTAGTTAATTGTATTACGATAAAATGAAGTAAAAGTTGTTTAAGCTTGAAAACTTGTTGATCAAGTTTGAAACTTTTATTTTTCTTCAATATTCTTACGGGGGATACTTGATGATGTAATCACAATTAACTGAAGATTAATAGAGAAGTCTTGAGAATTTTATGATAACCCTTGATTCGTAGAACATGAAAGATATAAAGATTTTATAGTTTGAAATACTTAAAAAATGGAATAAACTAATATTTTATAAACTGTAATATTTATTTTATACAATACAATGTATATGTACAATATAAATTATCAGAAAAAGTATCGAATAAATGATAGTTTTCAAACTTCAAGTATTACTTTCTTAGAATAAATAGTCTCAATGCAATCTTAAGCTTTACTTAAAGTTTACATTTTCCTTCTTGACACAAAAATGTATCTATAAAATATTAAAACGAAACAATAAATCTATCTTATACCTCTAACATTTCTTTAGATATAAAAAAAATATTCTTTATATTCAACTTTAAACATTGCTTTTACCCATTCGAGTATGAACAATTCTTCAGAAATTTTATCAAGAACCAACAATCGAACAACTTCTCTTCCAAAGACGAACAGAAGAAACCTCTTAAAAAAATTTGCTAAAATCCACTGTCACGATCCAAGTATATTAACCAACAAACTAGAAAGGAATTAAATCATACGGAGTACGCGGATCAGCGAGGATAATTAACCGCATTCGTTTCCTCGTGGGCGGATTGGATGGTTTTACAAGGCAATAGAAATCCGACCAAGATGGTGCACAGAGAAGACATCCTTGGGGATTAGGTCTCATTACACGGGAATTCAGTGGCAGACATACGCGTTGACGGTTCAACTCGTGGCTTGCCGAGTTTAAGGCAGTCGTCGGCTGACTCGTTTTGCCAGGTTCACGATGCTGACTGTGGTTAACGAGGGTGGTTTGATATCCTCGCCACCCCTGCCCGATTAGATTTACATGTAGATGGAGTTATCACGTTTTAACGAGATACAGGGTGACGAGGTGTATCCGCCAACACCGCCACCCCTTATCTCCCTTCTTCCTTGATTGACATGTTTGCCATCGTTGTCAGACGAAAATCAACGATTGCACCACTGCTCCCAGGACTGATCGTTCCCAAGGATCTCATCGATCACTGACACTCTGCACCACGCTTGTAATGGACCCGCTGTTACATAGATTTCCATCTTAGGTCGATCATGCACCCTCTTGCAAAGTTGGGAAACACAGCCGCGAAAATCGAGGAACCGTTGGGGATGGATAGGTGGATGTGTGTCTGGAGATGAACCGTTGTAAAGTTTGTCCGCCAATTCTGACTGAAATTATCATTGATCGGACAAGTTTCCACGTTAAATTTCTTGTAAGATTCGTGAATTCCATTGTCAAATTTGTTCGAGGATAGGAAAGATAAAGAAACAGATAATTTTGTTTGGAGTAATATTTACACGATAAATAATTGGAATTCCTTTTGTGATAAATTTGTATCTATAACACATAAATAATAAATGATAAATGATAAATAGATAATATTTGGATTAAGTGTATTTTAACAATTGTATATAAATTATAGTTGTAGGAATCTATTATATTAATTATCCTAATTATATCAATCTATCTAATATTAATTATTTTAAACTATTGTAATACATTTATCGATAATCACTTTATAAAATATTAAAATTTTTAATCACTGAAACGTGAATTCCAAAAATTTCTCTCAATTTTTCAT